AAAACTGGTAGTGTGTACTCTTATTATATAACTTACTTATTAACTATATTATATTAAAAATAAAATTAAAATATTATAATTATTTAAGGTAAAAAGATAAAAGAGATTTATAAATATAACTAGTTTTAATATTTTAAGATATAAATACTTTTCTAAGTTATCTAAAAAGCTTAAGATTATTTATTTATATTATTTATTTATAATAAAACTATATTTTTAATAATAATATATATATTAGTATAGTCTTCTATAAAGTATATATTTTAGTATAAAATCCTACTTTTAGCGTTACTTTTACATACCTACTATAGCTACACTTAAGAATAGTTAACTCGTTGCCTCGGGACCGGTGATTGCAAGGACCTACACATTAAAGGCTCCTAAACGTCGCTCTTTAGCTCTGGCGGGCCGATTACTTTACCAATCGACAGCGGTGTACAATCATGCACGAAGACACATTCAGGCCTTCAAAGTACATCCAGGTAATCTGGTGCCTGAAGATCACTCTGCCACTAATGCAAACTAAGCATTCTAAATTTAGGCGTGGAGGTGGGTCGGCAGCCAAGTCGCGGTGTCACCGACTCCAGACTTCGGCAGTTCGATAATAGGTAGCTAACAAGCTTTTGCATCTGCATGAGGCGAAATGAATTACCTGCAGAGCGGTCGACATGTTGCATTCCATCACGTTCCATCGCGTCTATCCAGACAAAGTAGACTGCGTTACCAAGTTGAGTTGTCAGGCCAGAGTGCTTTGTCCACTTGCGCTCACGGCCTTTGGCAATTTCCTTAAACTCTATTCCGACTGCGTGCTCAAGTCTAATTTCCACGTGACTTCCCTTCACAATATCCCAATGGCCTTGATCCTGGCTATTCATGCCGTTGTTACTGTTTGACTTGCCCCAATCTAAGCCTCTAACTACTGAGGGACTTTCAGTTCGGCCCAGAGCTGAGAAAAAGAAGTCTAATGTCTGGCATCAAAGCAAAGTACAGACCTATCTTTCATTACTCAGCATGAAATCTTCCCTGTTTTAGCTTTGACTTAATATATAGATGCCGTCGTGTTAGTGCATCATTTGTCCGGAATCTTGATTGCTGTAATTCGCGGAAACAAGCCAACAAGGGCAAAGGACCCAAGTATGCGTCCCTTGATAAAATTTTGAGACTTGCACCGCCCGAAAAAAAAGACTCCTTGGCGTTGTTTCTTCGACGGATAAAGGTTTCTGGACAGCTGCCGCTTGGGTCCGTGCTGATGCAGGACAGCTGAAACTACATGCATCTTCCATTCGACACGCCAATATCGTCCCTTCAGCCTGATGATGTCGTAATGTCCAGCGCACAGCATACAAAAGGCGTGACTTCATATGACGTATTGAGCCATAGTGCGTACATGACCGGCCGAGTACGCGTTTTTCTCAGCAACTCTTCTCTCTTTCATGTGCCAAGACGAAATCCAGTCAGGACGGCTCGTACATGGTACAACACTCTTCGCGCTGTAGAGTAAAGCTTTAAAACACTGCTGTGCCTGTATCTCCTTCGTTCAAGTTACTTCGTTTGTGACACGATGCACACTATTGGTAGTCATCTTGTCGAGACTGGTCATCGCCCACGTAGCCGTCACGGAGATTCTAGTACGTGGAGGGGATGCGCGGTCCATAATGGCCAGCCACCTGATTTGCAAGTCGATTAATGCCTTGACTGACTCGGAGTTCAGTTTTGTAGCCCCTAGTAGCTCAGCGGAGGTCGCCGCAATTTCTGGTACAATATCCGCGGGCTGCCGGATGAGTCTCTTCATGCCCAAAACCTGGGGCATTACGGTCACAATATTGCCAAAGTTCAGTCATGCTCTCTGAAAATGCAAATATTGTTAACAGTAGAGAAATGAGATTCGGGTTAGCGGTAAGAGAATGCTCTGAAAGCCTACACCTGAGTGTAGTGTAACTGAGGATACCGGGTAGGGGGAGCGACCGCCAACCAAGATATATTTATGTCGCGAGCGACCAATTCATCGGCTTTGCTTTCACTTTAAATACTGCTAAGATTTATCAAGATATATAACGTATTTGAGCGATGTTTGGAATGGCCGCAGTATTTTTGTTGAGGCAAGGAAATTCTTCACAGAGGAGAAACCGTGTGCATGGCAGTCGATGTTAGAACCCACGACTCGTGGATTCATCTTGGCTTGCCCTTTGAGCGGGCAAAGCACCTCCTGCCACTTTAACTGGAGATTAATCTTCTGCACTGACTAAAGTGACTTTTACGGCAGCTATCTCTGAATACAGAGTCATGTAGCGTTGTGCTGCCGCTGGTCACGAGAGAGCATGGCAAGGCACAAGCAAGGATGGCAAGTAAGGATAGATGGTAGGCGAAGAGGTTAAAACAGTTCTAAGTGTAATTGAATTACGTAAATATATAAACATTATCAAGAAACGGAATGAGCCTGTCACACAAGACATGAAGCTCTGAGTGCAGTTGGCATCAAGGGCGACCGATGCACTTGGACCTGCGAGAAAATGATCTTGTTAGTTTTTTGAACCCTCGCTATTGCGTCGATGCGGGTGATGCGGGGAAAGTACCTGGCCGGAAAGTCTCCCAATCATTAAAAGTGAAGGAAAATTCTCTCTCTCAAGTACGCAGCTCCATTTACTGCTTCTTGCCCTGGCCAGTGACGGCGTCGGTAACGGGGGTGACCATGCTCAGAGCATCCTTGGGCAGGTCAGTGCCGGCCTTGACGAGGTTCTGGAGAAGACCGGTGCCGGCACCGATGGGGTTGCCCTGAAGGATCTTGCGGATGACGTCGCCGGGGATGTTGAGGATCTCGTCACCGAGCTTGAAGAGGTTGGCAACACCGTTCTGGGCGGCACCGCCGACGGGGGCGGCCATGCTGCCGCCGAGGAGGCCGCCGAGGGGACCGGCGACACCACCAAAGTTGGTCTCGCGCTTGGTAGGAGCGGCGGAGACGGCCGAGCCAGCGGCGAGAACGGAGGCGACAATGGCGAACTTCATTTTGGTAGATTTGAGAATGGTCGGTTAAGAACTAGGAGGCGTGGTTTTGGAAAGAGAGGAGAAAGAAGAGAATAAAACGAAGGATAGGGCTGAAGTTACGAAAAGGCTTGCTGGATGCTCTCAAGATAATTACACGAGCGAAGAGGCATGTTTAAGTATTCTGTGGTTGCAACGGGACAAAGTCCCTGGCAAAGTCCGTGGCTCTATTGTGAGAAAGAGCCAAGAAACTGTCAAAGTCACGACAGAATAACCTAGGAAAGTTTAACACTAACACTCAGACCGAGGACCGGGTTTTGAGGCTTGAGCGCTACCTAATCGGGTAGGGAAGCTGGTCGCTACTGGCGTTGATTGGCCACAGTCGCGGCAAAATGCGGGTGCCGCCGCTCAGACGAATGTATCAGGAACGGTCACTGTTAAATCAGGTGTGCCTGCAGATTGGGCGGCGTTGCGCTCAGTCACTTTACCTCAATCAGGCCAGTTTCTTAGTGAGGGATGCGAAACCGTGAGCCCCTAGTCGGGACCTTGGCCACAGAAAGTGGGCTCAGACGGTTTTCTTCACCACCTGTTCTGGGCTATTTCCCAGCTCTCAGGTGGAAAAGGGCAAACAAAAAAAGAACCATGTTTTTTTTGTCAAGTCGGCCCAGGCCCGTGCATTCATGCGAACTCGATCCGCACGCTCCTTTGCCGCACTGGCGAACCGAGCAATGTCAGCACAAAACTATACGGCTGAGACTTGTTAGAGTTTGGAGACACATTCAGGTACGGCCTTACGAAGAATCTAAATCAAGACCAAACCAACAGAGCCGAAAGCCTGGCGGAAATGTTGCTGCATGATGTCGTCACAGGAACAGAGCGTTGTCGGTTCCTTGCTTCCCGCTCTTCCGAGCACGCCCAACGTCTGGTCGCTGAAATCGGACGTGCCAGGGGCGGACGCACATGGGAGCTGGGGGATCCTTGTTTCGACCCTATGCAGAAATTGTTTTCAACTGGTCTGTTGTTAAACTCTTGCTCGGCACACCGCACCGGACTTTGTTCATGTCCTTGCCAAGTAGCATGGGCTCCCTCATTAAGATCGTCGAGGCTAACACACGCGACGACTCCGCCAAGGTCTGCCCTGCAGGAACAAAAATAGCAAGATGCCCAGCTTTTCCCCCAAGATTCGCTTATGTTATTCGATATTCGCTTCATTTCCTCATCAATATGCTGTTGCGTAAACTAAAGTGCATACGATGATTGTTGTGTACTTTGGTTTAGCTGGCATGGTGCGCTGATGATAGTACCTACGCGCGCGAGGGGGGTTTTTTAACAACGGCTATAATACTCTATCACGTAGAAAATGTCTTTTTACTATCTAGTAAGACTACTAGAGCATCTACCACGTGTAGGAGCTAATATAGATTTATTCTAATATATCTGAGCGACTTAATAGTGTTTCTAGATAGTACAGTAAGGAGACATTGTAAACAGGAGACGCTGTAGGGGCTAAGTCCGTTCCCCTGACAGCGACGGCTGAACCAGGCGGCCGTAGCGGTGGAAACCCCGGTTTCCTTCCCGAATACTTGGAGAACAATTTATTGACATGGAGCCCGCAAATGTCCCGAACGAGAGGCGCAAAGCCCCGGGCTCCCCTGTTTTGCCTAATTAGGACACAGACTCTCCGCCGCCGCTCCGCCGCCGCTCCACCCCGAGCGCTCAGTTCGCCAAAGCGTTTCAGGCACAGCAATTTTTAGACCAGGCTGTGGCTATTAGCCTATTATCGTATCGACGTCGAGATTTTTGAAGTCCGCGCTCCCAGGGTTGAAGCGATGCGGTACCAAACCCAACCCCCCCCTGGTCTGCGCAGGGACAGCAACTTGGGACAAGGATGGTGTCACAAGCCAATCCTTGACAGGCGATTTGACTTTTGTTCGTGGGAATGGTGCTACGCTATAATCGACGGTCCGAGGGCAGCAGGATATATTAAAAGCATGTACGCCCGGGCTACCTCTTGCTTGATCGTCAGCCAGTTTAAGCCTCTAATTCCCTCGTTGAGCAAGTTTCTTATTCCCTTCTTGTCCCGGAGACCAAGACTGTTTTATCCTTTTTCTCGTTGACTAATATTCCAAACTACAAACGCGTTCGAGCTTCTTGTACAAAATGCGCTACTCCATCGTCTTCACTACCCTCGCCGCTGGTGCTTCGGCCCACGGTGTCATTCGCAACGTTGTCGGTGCCAACGGTGTTTCCATGCCTGGTCTTGGTGGTAAGTTCACTCCCATGTCGGCCATCAACAACTTTGGTGTGAGACCTGGCTAACATGAGTTGTATAGTTGCCGACGGCACTCCTCGCAACTGTGCTGCCAACGCTTGTGGTGCCCAGGCTGATACTTGCATCATCCGTGATGCTGACATTTCCGCGGGCAAGAGCCCTCTTGGTTGGACTCAGGGTAACGGCGAGGTCAACCCCGAGGGCCTTGTTGCCACCTTCATGGGCAAGGGCGGCGACGTTCCCACCAACTCGGGAACCTCTGGCGCCACTGGTGTTGAGGACAACATTCCTGCCAACATCCTCAGCCAGCAGCGCAAGCAGCGCCGTGACGAACATCTCAACGAGATGCGCGGCATCTTCAGCGGTCTGTTCAACCTGCCTGTCGTTGGTGTCCTCGGCCTTGGCGGTAAGCCCAACGATTACCCCGTCGAGACCATTGTCGGCGACATGGCCGGCCAGGGTGCCGAGAAGGGCATGCCTACCAGCAGTGACGATGGCAAGGTCAGCCTGATCTACCGTCAGGTGAGTCAACGCTGCACGTCCTTGTAGCAATGAACCCGTCTAATAACACCTCAATGTAGATCAACCAGGATGGCGCTGGTCCTCTCACTGCCGCCATCGATCCTTCCTCTGGCGGCAAGGACGGCAAGGCTTTCCAGAGCGCCAGCATGCCTCTGAACATGCCCGGAGTTGGTATCTCTGGTCTGTCGATTGCCACCAACACCGACTACCCCATCACCGTCCAGATGCCCGAGGGCATGACCTGCGAGGGCGAGATTGCTGGCGTCAAGAACGTCTGCGTTGTTCGCGTACGCAACCAGGCTTTCGCTGGTCCCTTTGGTGGCGCTGCCGCTTTCACTCAGAGCGACAAGGCTCGCAAGCGTGCCGTCGCCTACCGCCTGAAGAAGCGCTTCGAGATCAACCGTGAGGCTGAGGAGTAAACTTACTCAACTCTAACTCATAATACTTTGCGGAGCGACCACATATTGATCAGTGTGTTGCACCATGTTACTATCCTATTCGAATCTTCTATTGTTTAATTTTACTTGTCAAATATATCTAAGTTGCTGCAAGGGCAGATTATTACAACATTCACACTGTTGCTCATGTGCCGAACCATAGACAGAACTTGGAAGGCAAATAGCAAAAACAAAAAAAAAATTAATTATGAAAAAGAAAGCTTCATCAGTGATGCTTCTAGTCTTTTTTAAAAAAAGAAAAAAATCATAATTGCCCGGAGAATCGGACTTTCAAGTAGAATTGCTGTCTCGATAACCTGCACGTGGGACCGTGACAGCTCCCACCATGAACCAACCCACCACAGCTCCACGCTCTCACTTTGGACGTCAACCTTGCACAGCACTCAGCATTCGGCATTCCCAGCATCGCCGCCCTGGCAAGGCACCATCGAGCAATGGCCACCGAGGACGAACGCTATCGACAGTCCAGCCAGTTCCGGCTCTGGTCCTTTTCTCCAGCTGGCCTCAAGGATCTTCGCCACAAGACAAACGCGCTCGCGAAGCACCAGATAGCTGCGCGCTTAAACGCCGACCCGCCTCCCGAATTCCTCACTCCAGAGGAAGAAGCTCGTCTGGTCAAGTTTTTCACCATTGAGCTGATTCGCGCCGCGCAATTCTGCGAGCTCCCGACCGAAATTCGATCAACCGCCGCCATCTTTTTGCGCCGCTTCTACGTGACCAACTCCGTCATGACCTACCCGCCTACGGAGCTGCTCAAGACGTCGCTATTTTTCGGTTGCAAAGCCGAGGGCTTCTACATTCGCCTGGCTAGGCTTGCCGACAAGTTTCCAAACACGACGAGCGAGCAGATCTTGGCTGGCGAATTCCTGCTCTGTCAGGGCATCAGATTTGCCTTTGACGTCAGACATCCTTTCCGAGCACTCGAAGGCGCGATTCTCGAATTGCGCCGCAAATTACCCACGGAGCAAAATAGGATCAACACAGCGCACATGCGAACGCGGGAGATTCTCAAGTTCAGTACCCTGGTCACGGACGTCTACTTTCACTACGCTCCTAGCCAGATTATGATGGCGGCCTTGCTGATGACTGACGCTGGGCTTGTCGACACGCTGATTCCTTTGCCCGAGCCTGCCGATGAGCATGTCACAACACAAACAGCACTCCGTAACAGGATATTCACGGCTCTGGAGGCTTGCCGAAAAATACTCGAGGAAGAACCCCCAGAACGCATGACAGACTATTGGGGAACGGTTAGTGGCAGTGCTGTTACATCCCAAATTCTCCTCTTTTTAACATTCTTTAGCCCGAGACTGTCAAGTCTATGAAGCCCCTACGAAAAAAATTACAGAAATGCCGAGACCCCGATCGAGCCAATCTCGTGGCGCTTCAGCAAGCGCGTCGCGAACAGGCCTCCATAAAAGCAAAGAAACCCAGCGTGCCCGTAGATGGTGGCTTGGGAACAGAGGCAGAGTCTCGCGATGCAAAACGTCGAAAACTCGAGGCAGCTGATGACGTGTTTGGGCCAGCTTTGGGTTGAATTTGTTCACGTCGACGAGTTCGCGACCATTGGTTTGGCAACATGGTATTGCCAGTACTACGAAGCATGAAGCTCTGTGCTTCGAATGGCCATCACTGCTTAGGCCAAAGGCCACTTTTTTTCTTTTTCTTTTTTTTTTCGGATGGCATCTTTTCGGTTGCCCATCCTTCCGTGATGGACACCGCTCCCATGTGCCTGCATAGCAAGTACTTGCTCTTGGAGAATAAGCTTGGCTCCCAACCTAGCCAAAAGCTACGGATAAAATATCCCACCATAAGGATATGCACGATATACCTAGACTCGATTGCTATACCAGATACATGATAATGAACGATTACTGCCGATATGCTCAAGGTTGTGGCTCAGCATCCACGAAACGAAACTTGCAGAATTCTTTTATTGCTGTGCGAAACCACTCTATATACATCGTTTGTGTTATATGCTGTGAATGACTTTTTTTTTTGACTCATAAACTTAGTTCTTCAACAAGACAGAGAGCAACTTGGGATAGTTGGGGGTTCCAAGACCAGTGACAGGGTCCCAGCCCTTGACGGCAGAGAAACCCTTATTGGCACACTCGCTGGGAGACTCGTCGCCCTGAGGGCCACCGAGATGCTGGTCGCCAGAAACAATGTCGTTGAACACGCTAGGGTTCTGGTAAAGGGTGGGGTTAAGGAAACCCAGAGGGCCCTTCTTGCCGGCCTTGATGCGTTCATTGATAATGCGGTTAATGAGAGCAGCGAAGATTGGAGCGGACTGGGACGTTCCGCCGCTGGTACCCTCGCGGCCGTTTACGACGACGACACCGTACAGTCCGTTGGCAGATACATCAGGGTAGCCACGGCCAGCGCGGTTGTAAATACCACCGTTGCTCGGGATGACGCCGTCGGTAGTGTTGTAGGACTTGTAACCGGGATCATGCTGGGAGAAGTAGCTACATGGCACGAGGTTAGCCGACAAGTGACAGATGGTTGGCGATATCTGAGTGCAATGGACTTACGTGGCGAGGGCAGACTTTTGGTAGTCGGGGGCGGCATTGACGTTGCTGAACCCGCCACCAGAGGAGAACTTGTGCATGGTGGCCGTCTCGGCGTCACCGGGGCTGGATCCGATGGGGAGCTCAGTGGCGCCGACCGATGTGATGTACGGGCAGCCGCCAAGGATACCGGGAACGAAGACGTCCTGGTTGCTGCCCAAGCACTCACGCTCGCGACTGGCAACACCCGAGTCTCCAGAGGAAATGAGGACAGAAACACCCTGAAGACCAAGTTTCATCCACTCATTGCATTGGCGCTAAAAGGCAGAGCCGGGTCAGCTTACTTTTGCTTCTGAATTGCATAAAGGGGCAAGATCTTTGTCACCAACCTTGGCATAGCTGGCAGGAAAGTCGACCTCATCGCTACCGTAGGAGATGGAGATGACGTTGGTGGACTTGTACTTGCCGCACTCGCCACTGTCGTTGCAGTAGGAGCCGTCGAGAGCCTCGAGAAGAGGGTCGAAGAAGGACAGGGCGTCGTCGGGGGCGCCGACCTCGTAATTGACGGTTCCCTGTGGGTGAATGATGGGCACGGCCATGTCATAATCGAGGTCGGCCTCACCGCTGTCCTGGGTGCCGCTCTGCTGGTTTACGGGTGCGTTCTTGGGAGCAGTGCCACTAGGGACGTGGCTCGCGTACTTTGAGTAGAACTGGTTAAGGTCAGACTGAATGTACTGCTCGCCGGCCTGCTCAAAGATGCCGAGGTCATTGGAGGCGTCCTTCAAGCTGCCCTGCTCAAAGTTGTACATGGAACGGAGACACGCAGGGGTAATGTGGTTGGGGCAGGTGGAGGCCTGGACGGAAAGAGCCTCGCTGATCGGCCAGAACGGGACTTTGGGAAGCTTGCGTTCAATCTTGCCCGCGGCAGCGAGGGCAACGGCGGGCTGGACAAAGTCGACGTGGTCGGCGACGGTGCTGGGCAGCTTGTACTCGTCGGTGCCGATGTAGGTGCCCTTGCGGGTAGGATGGCTGTACTGGTTGTACTTTGCATCGAGCAGAGTCTCGAGCTTACCAGTGGTCGTTTCAAAGGTAAGCCATCCCTGGTTCTGGCTATGCTTGATAGAGTCGGCAGAGATGCCGTTGGCGACCAGCCAAGACTTGACAGCGTCAACGGTCCCAGCCTCGGGAGCAAAGGTCGAGACGACCTGGTCTTCAGTGTAGTGCTTGCCATAATCGGGGGAGTTGGGGTCAGAGCTGCCAAGTCTGCGTTAGTTTCGATGCACATGGTAGGGAACAAAGGGCTGAACGGAGGATGGTGAGCACTTACACCTTGAGGAGGAGGTCCATGGCATTGTCCAAGTTGCGCTGCTTAAGAGCGATGCGCACCGGGACGCGGGTATTGGTCTCGACGGCAGCGCCCTTTGTGTAGCCGGCATGGCTGGCACCTCTGGTCTCGTGGACGACCATCTTGGAAGCCGGTGCGGCCAAGGCCGTGGCGGCGAGGACAAGGACGTTCAGCTTCATAGTGAGCGATGCCAAATCTAGGAGTGCTTTTGAATAGTCGAGGAGTTGGTGATCAAGATGCCTGATTTAGATGTGTAAAACAGGCGTGCGCCGGGCTGTTTATATATATTCTTGGCTCACATGTTAAACCACGATCGAGCTGTCATTTTTTTTAACTTGTCGCAATTCGCACGATATGACAGAGGCAGCAGAGTCCAGCTCCGTGCCCTCTCAATGGCTGATGCTGTCAAGATGTTTGGCATCCTTTATCTACACTACCTTCTGCAATCATGTTAGTCTTGCTCTTACGGAAACAATGTACCAATACCGCTGCATGATTAACGGAGGGGAAGCGGGGGGGGCACTCTATTTGCCCATTTAGGAAGTCAAGAACATTACTGTTACATTTCGGCGAATCCATCAATTGGCTACCGACGGGATCAACTGAACAGGAACGAGAAAGCTCCGGCTGAACGCTTGTCAATGCGTGTGTCTATGCATACCGCACTGCGACGCGTTCCCAAACGATTCATTGCGAGTCGTACGAGGCTGATTGCTCGTGTTTCCCAGCCATAAGCATTATGCTTATTGAGGAAGCTTGCTTCTGCTCATTGCAACATTTCGCTTCACTGCCACGATCGGTGCCTGATCGGCTTTTGGACTTGTTCCCCCCATTACTAGCCCAGCTGCCAAAACGGCCAAAACAATAGATTGCCAAGGCGGGATTATAGCGGAAATCGCCATCTCGAGCGAGCCGGTGAGCCAGAGTTGATGGGATCAGCAGCCAAGGAACCTTGGCGATGGGATTTGCCTAATTAGGAAGGCAAAGATATCCTGGCTCATAGCGTCAGAATTACAGTGTGATCGACTACACTGTAGAATGCAAGCGTCCCCACAGATTGTCACGCTCCCAATCATCCGAGGTTACACTGATGTGCCGTCTTATCCAGCGGAAATTAGACTCCCACTCCAATGAGAGTTGGATGGCTCATATAGGGCTTGTCATACGTGTAGGGGTTGGTGGAGCCCTAGTTGACATCATCAACTGCAACAGTTTCTGGCAGGTGTTTTATGTTGATAAAGGCGCTGCATCTCACGCTCCATGTAAACACACTTGACAAGAAGCATGTGGCCAACGTGCTGCATCATTTCGCATGAAGCAATGTTGCAGGTGGGTGGTACACCAGGCTGTTATCTCTACTTCGCCTAGAAGCACAAAGCGGCTGACAGGTTTGCGAAGCTTATGCGCGAGAGTTATATAGAGTCCTACTGCTATAAAATTGTCGATTACAGAGATTTCTGCCGTGCGAATTATGCATGCGACTTTGTAGAAATGGCCGTCCTTCTATGTTGACGACTGAGTGACTGTCGAGCTACATTGAGAGAGACGACCTGACTGCAACAGCAGATTGAGCACGATAATCTGCGTTCGGTGGCATAGTAAAATCGCACATGATCGGACGCCGTGCCAGTGCTATAACAACAAAATTAGCAGCTTAGCGTATCCATTGTTGTCTTTTACTCGCTACACCAAAAATGGTTGGCTTTAACATCGAATAGCGTTGATCTACAGGTGCCATCAGTGTGTCAGATGTTTGCTACTGTGCGTCAAGAATACTTCAATCATCAATATTCTCTAGACCCGTCTGGTAGAATTGTTGCTATTCTGGTAACATAAACACCACTAGCTGAAACTACAACTTTTCTACCTGCCGAGTCGCAACTTAGACTCATTGCTTATAACATCACTAATTGGCAGCGAGATGCGTACCACAACAACCACCTGACAGATGTTTAGATGACAAAGGTGATGACAAAGGTGATAGACAGGACAAATGGGTCTACAGTCTTCTAGTATAAAGAAAAAGT